GGATGGATTTGGACAAAATAGCAAACCCTCTGGATTGTTGGATTTATTTTTAACACCAAATATCTGTCTCTTCATTTCCCACCTACAGATCCAAGTTGGACAGAAGGCAGCAAATGCATTGAAAGCAAAGCATGGAACCAATTATAGAGTTGGATCGAGTGCAGATATTTTATGTAAGTATCTTTTTTTTCCCTCTTCAATAGTATCTAAGGCACAAAAAAGTCAGTGGGCTTTGGGGAGTGGGGTGGACAGGATAGAAAAGTTCCTTGGATCAACAGGAAGTTGTACAAATCAAAACGACCAAGGATAAAATAGGGATAAGGTGTGAACACAACGCAAAAATTACACTGGCTCAGAACTCCCTCTGGCTTCAGTTAAAAAGAGCAGGCAGTGAGGAGACACAGGAGTTAACAGGAAAGATGTTCCCCAGGGACCCTTGGTCAGTTGATTCAGTTCCCAGAAGACCATCAGGCTAAGAAAGTAAAGCAGATGGGGCCTGGAGAGAGGATCTTTTTTAAAAAGAGGATTTAGTTGAAAGGAGTGAGCACTGCTTTTTCCATCCCCAACTACTGCTTCCTCTACCCACTGAAGGACCACTGAGGTCATATTTTCCTAATATTTTTCCTATTGGTCATTTTGCTTCTTGTTCCTTTAACTGCCAGTTCACTTCACCTGCAATATTAGATAGTCTTGTCTTTGATTCAGTTAAGACGCTTTAACAAAACCTCTGCCATGTACCAGGCAAAATGCTAGCTAATGTGGGGAGGGCAAAGGAAGACAGAGGCTGAACAAGACGTAATTCATGCCCTACAGGTGCTTGATATCAAGGAGAAGAAGAAGACACCTACTCACAAAATCTTAATATGAAAGAGTTTATTTACTTTGTTAGGTTGAACCTCTATTCCCTGAAATGGCTAATAGAAATCTTTCACAGGACAGCTTCCAACTCTGCCTCCATGTTTGCATTTGTAGATGCCACGTCAGGGTCTTCAAGAGACTGGGCCTGGGATATCGGGATCCCCTTCTCATACACGTTTGAGCTGAGGGACAATGGTACCTATGGTTTTGTTCTGCCAGAAGCTCAGATTCAGGCTACCTGCGAGGAAGCCATGGAGGCTGTGCTTTCAGTCCTGGATGACGTATATGAGAAATACTGGCACTCAAACAGCGCTGAAAAGGCAACATCTACTGCTGTGGTGCTGAGCTTGCTAATGTCCTTCATGTCTCTTCTCTAAGCGCATCCTCTCCAGGGCCGCTCAGCCCCAGTGATGTGGACAGGACCACACGGAAGGTGTTTGTGGTTATGGTGGAGCCAAATAACTTAACTACAAATACTTCCTGTTTCAATAAAGAGGAATCATCTTTGTATTTTAATGTGGTTTTTTTTTTGCTGGGTAATTAATTTGTATTACTTTAAAAGAGTATCATATTAGTCATTGCTACAGTAGTGCTACAGATCAAACCTGCTTACCAGCCAGCAGCTCACAAATCTGTCGGTCAGCAAGGAAGCTCTGTGCATCTTGGCTGTTCTCACTTACATATCTGTGGTCAGTTTCAGGGCAGCCGCCCCGGGGTCTAGAGAATTTTCTTCCCATCTAAACTCTTCGAAAATTTTGCCTGTGCCCTTGGCACCAAGTCCACACTTAATTTTGTGTTATTGAGTGGTAGCAGCCTTCAGCAGATAAAGTTGTAACCTGTCCATGTAGCTGTTGCTGGTTTTATTTATTTATGTAATATTTTATTGATTTACCCAAAAAAGTTTTTTTGAGAATCTCCGAGGTATATTTTGCTAAGCTCTGGGGTTACAAAGGTAAATAAGGTGGACCTGGTCCCTGTTCTCTTGGAATTTCTGTCCCAGTGGGTGAGATTGAGGATGGTAGCTACAAATAAATGAAATGGATGCTATCTCATACCAGGCAAATCTCAACTCTGGGGAGCTCTGTATCAAGAACAAAAAGAAA